GTTACATTGCCCTTGCTGAATCCCTACCAGGCCTCTCACATCCTCCTTGCCACTGTTTTTGAATCACTTGTTGCTCCCCTGTCCCTGGGTTAGTCAGCACCACCTCCTTACCCCCGCCTCCCTCTCTGAGAGGGAGCACATTTTAACATGTATTTATTGGTCATTTTAATTTCTTCTTGGCCATACCGAATTTTTGCCAACATTTTCTACTATATCAATCATGTCTCTAGTTTTTCTTCTCTTTCTAAATGGTGTGGTAGTTACATAATCTGGTGTCAATTTGAGAATTAAGAGTGAAGGGATGGAGTCTGTCAATCCAGTGATAGCCTATGAGACCTCTGTGTGGGCATGGCCTTCTGAAGATTCTGGGAAATGTGGTATTCCTCCTTGGAGGCAAGAGACACTCACTCTGTGAGACATCTCTGTGGAGAAGACATGGAGAGCGGATGATGGAGCCAGACCTCTGGAGCTGGAGGAACCACGTGGAGAGCCCTGCCAGCACTGAGATTCTTACAACGCCACTGGAGCCACTAGACTTCCACCCACTGGCCTATGGTCTTCCTGCATCATTTCATGTGTTTTGTGAATCTGACGAGGACTTTATAGATTGGTATTGGACATAAGGGCTAATATCGGACTTATGGACTTGATCTGGACTGGACTTGGGTGTTTTCTCAATATTCAATTGCTCTTGTATATAAAGCTCTTTCTTACACACATATGAGTGTCCATGAATTTGTTTCTCTAGTCTACCCAGACTAACGCAAATGGAGAAGGAAGAGCCAACCTGTTCCTTATTAGCCTAAAAGCTCATCTATTAAATCATCTAAAGTAGTGAACTGACTAATATGGAGGGAATGGAGGTAGGTGGACCAATGATGAAGGCAGGAAGAGAATGTCTTCTGATTATTTCTTAAACCGTTTGCAATACCATATTTATGCAGTAAGAGTTTCAGAATGCTATGGAATTCTTGGTTCCTTTCTCTTCTTTCCGTCAAACAGTCAACTCAATCACATGCTTCTGTTTATCACCCTGCTGATCTACATTACCTTTTCCTAAAACTATAGAA